AACATCATCATCATCAACAACAACAACACCAACACCAACACCAACACCAACAACAACAACAACAACAACAACAACAACAACAGCAACACCAACACCAACACCAACACCAACAACAACAGCAACAGCAGCAACAACAACAACAAAACAGCAACAGCACCAGCAACAACAACAACACCGACAACACCAACACCAACAACAACAACAGCAACAACACCAACAACAACACCACCAACACCAACAACAGCAACACCAACAACAACAGCCAACAACAACAACTACAACACCAACAACAACACCACCAACAACAATAACATGAACACCAACAGCAACATCAACAACAACAGCAACACCACCAACAACAGCACCACCAATAACAACAATCATGCGAATAATGTTTGCTCTTATCTGCTCGATTGTCCGTTAACGCGTAGTTCCGAAACCTTCGATACCCACCCTCTTCGTCCTTCATCGTACCCCTTTTTGTGAGCAGGGACCGACCGTCCCGGCATTTCCATAGGCCTACCACGAAAATTTGTTCTAAAGACGGGAACAATGTTCCTATAGCATAAGCCCGATGTGATAAAACAAAACCGCCCAAACCATACATATTTGTATAACCCTTCGTGGAAGCCGCAACTGGTTCTTAGAACATTCTTTGGTGGGCCTATAGGCGAGCCAAGACGCTTCGCCACTGCTTGACTTTCGGGAGGTATACCTTTCTTCCTTGCAGGCCGGGCCCCGGCAAGTGGCGGGGCGGCCGCGGACCGTCGGCCTGGCCAGCGGCAGCGCTGATCGGCGGCAACCCGACCCCAAGAGGAACGGACAGGGGACCGACCACGACGACGACGACGAGCGAACGCGAGAGCGAGAGAGAGAACGACAGCAGGGCCACGAAGGGGATGCGCATGGGGCCACGAAGAGTGCGAACGAGCGGGGGCCACGAAGGGCAGATAATGCGGGGCCACAGAAGGCAACGACGGGGCCACTGAGGGTAGCAACTGGGACACGTAGGACAGCGAGGGGGCCAGAAAGGGCGACAGCGGGGCCACGAAGTGCATGAACATGGGGCCACGACGGGCGCGAACGAGCGGGGGCCACGAATGGTATACGTATATTGGGTCGCGGAAGCTAAGGACGGGGCCACTGAGGGCAGCAACGGGGCCACGAAGTGCAGCGAGGGGGCCACGAAGGGCGACACCGGGGCCGCGAAGGGCATGCATGTGGGGCCACGACGGGCGCGGACGAGCGGGGGCCACGAAGGGCATACATACATACATACATACATACATACATACATTTCTCTTCCTATATTTTTATAACCCCGGGCGGGGGGAAAACCCGTCCCCCCCCCCAAAAAAAACCGGACTAGTGGGGCTTTGGAACCCTCCGGACGGGCCTCGAAGCGGCCCCCCGGGCCTCGCAGGGCGGTTTGACAAGCCTTCGCAGCACACCTGTGGCGATCAGGGGGGTCATCGGAGACGTCCCAGAGACACCCAAGACAGCACAAGAGCGCTCCAAGAGTGACCGACGTGACCTTCAGAAGGCCCAAGAGGCCTCAAGGACGGTCCCAAAGAGGCCTCCAAGAGCACTCCCAAGAAGGCCCCAAGAGGCACAAATCATTGATTTTCTGTCGGTTTTTGGTGAACTTTGGGGTTCTCCTCTGCTCGGCTTCCCGACGCTCCAAGACGGCGGTCTTCTGGGCGTCCGAAGCCGCCTGGGAGGCTCTAAAATCGCCCCACAAACATCCGAAAGGGCTTCCGGGCAGTCCAAAAAAGCTCCAAAACAGCACAACACGGGTCCAAGATGGCCCTCAGAGAGCTCCATGGCGGCCCAAGGTGGCCCCAAGACACCCTCCGAAACATTCCAAATCGTGACCTGGTCGTTCAGGGAGACCGCGGTTGGAGGCAGGATGGCCCGAGGAAGCCCCCAGAGGCCCCCATAATACACCCAGGAGGCCTCCTGAAAGCTTTGAGAAAGCCTGAAACAACTTTTGTGAGGCCCCCAGAGGCTCTCCAAGGAGGAGCCTCCGCAATAAAGAGCTGAGGAGGATGTGGAGAATGCGCAGGGTATTGCGAAAATGAAGAGAAAAAAAAGCATGGAGGAAGGATAACGAATCACATTATTATAGCGGCGATGCCAGAAAAGGCAACAAGGAGTTATCGCTAAATTGTCGGCTTGACCTTCCTGCTATTCCGCCTGCATGCCACACTCCAAAGACCAAAGTGCATGGCGCGAAGCGCCACTGCAGTCTTATATATATATATATATATATATATATATATATATATATATGTATGTGTGTGTGTAAATATGCATGTGGCCACAAAGTGCAGCCCGGGGGCCACGAAGGGCAGCAACGGGGCCACGAAATGCAGCGAGGGGGCCACGAAGGGCGACAGCGGGGCTACCAAGGGCTGCAACGGGGCCACGAAGGGCATACAGATCGGAGGTGAGGGGGTGAGATCGAAGTAGAACGGAGAGCCCCCCTACCGGGAAATCTATTTCGGTTTCGCGTTCGTGCGTGAGGCGAAGCTGCGTGGGCGGGCAAGAGGAAAGACTCCTGTGGCTGAGGCGCGGCCGGACCAAATGATTCTCCACCGGGCGGCCGGTGGCGCGCGGTGTCCCGCCGGTGTCCCGCTCGGGGGCCGGTGGCGCGCGGTGTCCCGACGGTGTCCCGCCGGTGCCCCGTCGGTGCCCCGATGATGATGATGATGATGATGATGATGATGATGATGATGGTGATGGTGATGGTGATGGTGATGGTGATGGTGATGGTGGTGATGATGATGGTGTCCCGATGGTGATGATAATGATGATGATGATGATGATGATGATGTTGACGATGTTGATGATGATGACGATGGTGATAGTGATGATGATGGTGCCCCGATGATGGTGATGTAGATGGTGGTGATGTTGCTGATGATGATGATGGTGCCCGGGCGATGATGATAATGTTGGTGATCCTGATGAAACTGGTGATGATCAAATGATTTGATGATGAAGATGGTGATGATGGTGTCCCGATGATGATGCTGAGGTTGATGATCATGCAGTTGACGATGGTGATGATGATTGTGTCCCGATGATGATGATGATGATGATGACCATTTTGATGATGATGACGATGATGTTGTCCCGACGATGATGATGTTGATGGTGAGGATGCTGATGAGGTGATGATGATGATTTTGATGACGGTGGCCCAATGATTGCGATGATGTTGCTGATGTTGACGATGATGATGGTGTGCCGATGATGTTGATGATGATGATGGTGTTGATGATGCTGGTGACGATGATGATGGTGTTCCGATGATGATGATGATGATGATGGTGGTGGTGATAATGTTGCGAATGGTGATGATGGTGTCCCGGTGATGATGTTGACGATGCTGTGCATGATCATGATGATGAAATGATGATGATGCTGGTGGTGTTCCGATGATGATGCTGATGATGATGATGGTGCCCCGATGATGATGATGATGAGGAGGTTGATGATGATGATGGTGACGATGATGGTGTCCCGATGATGATGGTGATGGTGATGCTGATGTTGATGATGATGGTGATGATATGATGATGGCGATGGTGTCCCGGTGATGGTGATGATGGTGATGTTGATGTTGATGGCGTTGATGACGATGATGTTGATGATGATGATGATGATGACGTTGATTGTGATATCGATTGTGATATCGATCGTGAGATCGATAGTTAGACCGAATGTGAGATCGATTGTGACATCGCTAGTGAGAGCGACCATTAGATCGATTGTGAGATCGATCGTCATATCGATTGTGAAATCGATCGGATGAAATATATCGAGTGAAATCGATTGAGATATCGATCGAGTGGGATCGATCGAGCAAGACCGATAGTGATATCGATAGTGAGATTGATAGTAATTCCGATCGATTGAGACGTTGGTTCCTTCCCCCCCGAACCTCCTTATCACCCGAAGGGTGGTCGTATAGGTATAGGGCCACGAAGGGCAGCGAGGGGGCCACGAAGGGCTGCAACGGGGTAGCGAAGGGCACGAGGGGGCCACGACGGGCATGCAACGGGGCCACGAAGGGCAGCGATGGTCGCTATCGATCTCACGTTCGATCTCATTATCGATATCACTATCGATCTCGCTATCGATCTCACTATCGATCTCACAATCGATCTCACAATCGATCTCACATTCGGTCTCACATTCGGTCTCACTGTCGATCTCACAATCGATCTCACAATCGATCTCACAGTCGATCTCACATTCGGTCTCACATTCGGTCTCACTATCGATCTCACTATCGATCTCACAATCGATCTCACTATCGATCTCACATTTGGTTTCACAGTCGGTCCCACTATCGATCTCACAATCGATATCATTATCGATCTCACAGTCGATCTCGCTATCGATATCACAATCGAACTCCCAATCGATCTCACAATCGACGCCATCATCATCATCGTCATCATCATCATCATCATCGTCATCATCATCATCATCATCACCATCATCACCATCATCACCATCATTACCATCATCACCATCTCACAATCGATCTCATTATCGATCTCACAGTCGATCTCACCATCGTTATCACAATCGAACTCCCAATCGATCTCACAGTCGACGCCATCATCATCATCATCGTCATCATCATCATCATCGTCATCATCAGCATCACCATCATCACCATCATCACCATCATTACCATCATCACCATCATCATCTCACAGTCGATCTGACGATCGATCTCACAATCGATCTCACTATCGATCTCACAATCGATCTGACATTCGGTCTCACTATCGATGTCACAATCGATCTCACAATCGACGTCATCATCATCATCATCAACAACAACACCAACATCATCATCATCATCATCATCATCGTCATCGTCATCATCATCATCATCATCATCATCATCATCATCATCATCATCATCATCATCATCATCATCATCATCATCGCCATCATCACCATCATCACCATCATATCATCACCATCATCATCATAATCATCCACATCATCATCGGGACACCGACGGGACACCGACGGGACACCAGCGGGACACCGGCGGGGCACCGCGCGCCACCGGCCGCCCGGAACAGACACATTTGGTCCAGCCGCGCCTCAGCTACAGGGACACCGACGGGGCACCGGCGGGACACCGGCGGGACACCGCGCGCCACCGGCCGCCCGGCGGAGAATCATTTGGTCCGGCCGCGCCTCAGCCACAGGGCACTTTCTCTCGCCCGCCCACGCAGCTTCGCCTCGCCCGCACGCACGGCACGCACGAACACGGAACCGGAACCGAACCGAACACGCTCTGGGAGAATATCATGAGGACAATATGCTCGTCGCAGGCGTGCGAAGCCGCAAGGCTTCGTTCCCTAGGGTGGTCTTGGCCAGCCTGGGCGACCGCTGCTTCACTAGACGAGCATCCAGATAGCGTTCGTGGCGCTGACTATGCCCCTCTCCGCGAGCTTCGCTACATTGCCGTAGTACGTGTACCAATGCCGCTCGCCGATCGTCAGCTGATAGCTTCCCACGTACGCCTCCCAGGATCCGCTGCAGAAGATAATGCGCACCAAGCTAATCAACACCATCTGCTCAACGGTGATGAACGACATCTGTACCATGGTCATGAAGAAGATCCTCATCTTCGTGTCATCCAAGGAATCCTCCGTGTCATCCTTCGTGTCATCCTCGAGGGCGTTTTCGCTGACCGGCACGTCAGAGAAGTCTTTCTCCAACTCCGTGCGGTTCAGGTTGATGAGCCTGATTCTGTCCTCCGGGTCTGCAAGTGCAAGGGGCTGCTCCCTCACCCTGGCGCTCCGGCTGGCGACGGTGTCTTGAGCCTGAGTCGCTAGGGGCGTTCTGTCCTCCTGGTCTGCAAGGGGCTGCTCCATCAACCCGGCGCTCCCGCTGGCGACGGTGTCTTGAGCCTGAGTCGCTGCGGGCGTTCTGTCCTCCTGGTCTGCAAGGGGCTGCTCCATCAACCCGGCGCTCCCGCTGGCGACGGTGTCTTGAGCCTGAGTCGCTGCGGGATGGAAGTCTTCAACAAGACCTTTCTTTATTTGTTCCCACTTCATTCGGTTCACGAATCCGTAGAAGACGCTGAACACAATGGGGGCAACGAGGGTGGCCCAGATCTGCATCAGGGAGAAGTAGAAGAAGGGCGCGATCAGTGACCACCAATACCCGAAGGACTCCTTGGCCCAAGCCCACAGGCCGAAGGACACGATGCAACCGATGATCACAGTACCACAAAAGTGAAGAAGGAGGATGCAACCGATGATCTTCGGGCATAACGAAAAGACGTACCGTAACACCTTGAGAAGGACCTGGAGAAACAACATCCAAGCGACCCCGAAAAACACATTCAAGATCAGGTAGGGCGACAGGAGGAGGAAATAGAGATGCTTCTGGCACGGGAACCACTTCGCGCCACCTGGTATCAGGGGAAGTCCGCTAGGGACCCCAGGGATCTGAGGGATGCATCTGTACCTCACCTTTCTCAATCCCAGCAACATGACCGGACTTTCGAAGGTCACTTGTAAACCCAACGCCCTGGCAGCAACGTAGTTGGCCGATGTTTCCACGATGACTACCAGACAGCACATCCTCTTGAAGAAGCCGTCCATGTCCTTCGTGGCCTGGGTGTAGAACTGGAAGTCGTGTTGGAAGCCGTTGCAGGCCATGGCGAAGAAGCCCAACTGACACATGAACTTCACGACCTCCTTCATGTTCTTCACGATGTCGTAAGAGCCAACCGTCCGAAGGAAGCCGTGCGTTGTCCTCGTCGCGCAGAAGCCGTCCCTTTTCAGCATTGCTGCGACGACATCTTTCTTGAAGCGGATGCTGAACCCGAAGATGCTCATGGTCAGTGTGATCTTGATGCCGAAGAAGATCGGCATCAGGTAGTACGGCTGCAACTCCTGCGGCCTCAGCGCTGCACTCACGAAGTCCTCCTCGAGGTGCCCGCCGCTCTTGTCATAGACAACCGTCTCGTCGTCGTCGTCCTTGCCGCCTTCGCCGCTCGCAGTCTTGGCCTTGAACTCCGCGCTGTGATGGTCGTCGTCGTCGTCCGTTCCGCCTTCGCCGCTCGCGGTCTTGGTCGTGCTCTCGGCGTTGTGGTGGTCTTCGCCGTGCGCTTCCGTATCCCCGTGGCCATCCGTGCTCCTCAGGGCCCGGGTCAGGCCGCCCGGCGGCCCCGCCGCGACGCGCCTCGCGTCGCGGGCCACATGATCCAAGGCCGCCGGCCCTGCGAGAGCCGGCGTCGCGGCGGCGGCCTTCAGCGTCATGGCGCCGTCCAGGGCGTGGACGGCGCCGCTCCCGCGAGCAGGTCCCGCTGCCCCGGCGGCAGGGGCGCGCGCGGCTAGCGCCACGGTCATCAACAGCACGGCGGCAACCGAGGCGGCGGACAGTCTCAGCACCGAGCGGCGCTGCTGGCGGCGGGTCCTGGGCACGAGCGGCGATGCCTCGGGGTCGCGGCTGGAGTCCGCCGTCTCCTCGCTCGCCATGGCGTCGAAGGGAGGCTGCAACAGAAAGCAGCTGCTCCCTTGAGCCAAAATGGCTACGGATGATGTTGATGATGATGATGATGATGATGATGATGATGATGGTGGTGGTGATAATGTTGCGAATGGTGATGATGGTGTCCCGGTGATGATGTTGACGATGCTGTGCATGATCATGATGATGGTATGATGATGATGCTGGTGGTGTTCCGATGATGATGATGCTGATGATGATGATGGTGCCCCGATGCTGATGATGATGATGATGATGATGAAGAGGTTGATGATGATGATGATGATGATGATGATGATGGTGACGATGATGGTGTCCCGATGATGATGGTGATGGTGATGATGATGTTGATGATGATGGTGATGATATGATGATGGCGATGGTGTCCCGGTGATGATAATGATGGTGATGTTGATGTTGGCGTTGATGACGATGATGTTGATGATGATGATGATGATGATGATGATGATGATGATGATGATGATGATGACGTTGATTGTGATATCGATTGTGATATCGATAGTGAGATCGATAGTTAGACCGAATGTGAGATCGATTGTGGCATCGCTAGTGAGAGCGACCATTAGATCGATTGTGAGATCGATCGTCATATCGATTGTGAGATCGACCGGATGAAATATATCGAGTGAAATCGATTGAGATATCGATCGAGTGAGATCGAACGAGCAAGACCGATAGTGATATCGATGGTGAGATTGATAGTAATTCCGATCGATTGAGACGTTGGTTCCTCCATCCCCGAACCTCCTTATCACCCGAAGGGTGGTCGTATAGGTATAGGGCCACGAAGGGCAGCGAGGGGGCCACGAAGGGCTGCAACGGGGTAGCGAAGGGCACGAGGGGGCCACGACGGGCATGCAACGGGGCCACGAGGGGCAGCGATGGGGCCACAAGGAGCTGCAACGGGGCCACGAAGGGCAGCGAGGGGGCCACGAAGAGCTGCAACGGGGCCACGAAACAAAGCGAGGGGGCTACGATGAGCTACAACGGGGCCACGAAGGGCAACGAGGGGCCAACAAAGAGCTGCAACGGGGCCACGAAAGGCAGCGAGGGGGCCACGAAGGGCTGCAGAGGGGCCACGAAGGGCAGCGACATCCCGATTCCAAAATAATCTGTGAAGGAGTCGTAAGCGTGAGCGCGACTCCTGGGTGGCTGAGTGTTCGGAGCGCGGCGTTTGAATAAATTGCGGTGAATTCCAACGCAAGGGCGCTATTCTTGAGTAAGTTGCAAGCAAGTCTCCAGCGACAGCGCGACTCCAGAGCGCAGAGAGAGCGATTCCTGAATAAATTGTAAGGGGGGTCCTGGCTAAATTGTAAGGAAGTCTCAGGCGGGAGCAGCTGTTGTTGTAACCCAGGGGCCACCAACACAATTTGAGGAGGAATACTTTCCCTGATAGAAAACTGGGTGCGAGCGCCGGAAGGGGCACTTCAATTGAACAAATGTAATATGCACCAGAGGGAGGGATCACCAATAATCATGCTTCAGTAGTGAGAGTTCAACAACAACAAGAACAACATCAACAACAACCCTTATTTTAAAGCTGTTCGCTCTTATCTGTTCGAGTGTCTGTTAGCGCGTATTTCCCGAACCATCGATGCCCGCCCTCTTCGTCTTCGATCGTACCCCTTTTGGGAGGTATATCTTTCTTCCCTGCAGGCTGGGCCCCGGCAAGCGGCGGGGCGGCCGCGGACCGTCGGCCTGGAAAGCGGCAGCGCTGATCGGCGGCAACCCGACCCCAAGAGGGACGGTCAGGGGACCGACCACGACGACGACGACGACGACGACGACAACGACGACGGCGACGACGAGCGAAAGCGAAAGCGAGGGAGAGAATGAAAGCAGGGCCATGAAGGGCACGAAGTAGGCCACGAAGGGAGACAGCGGGGACACGAAGGGAATGCGTATGGGGCCACGAAGAGCGCGAACGAGCGGGGGCCACGAAGGGCAGATAATGCGGGGCCACAGAAGGCAACGACGGGGCCACTGAGGGTAGCAACTGGGCCACGTAGGACAGCGAGGGGGCCAGAAAGGGCGACAGCGGGGTCACGAAGGGCATGCACATGGGGCCACGACCGGCGCGAACGAGCGGGGGCCACGAAGGGCATACGTATATTGGGCTGCGGAGGGCAAGGCCGGGCCACGCAGGGCAGCGAGGGGGGCCACGAAGGGCTGCAACGGGGCCACGAGACAAAGCGAGGGGGCCACGAAGGGCTGCAACGGGGCCACGAAACAAAGCGAGGGGGCCACGAAGGGCTGCAACGGGGCCACGAAGGGCAGCGAGGGAGCCACGAAGGGCTGCAACGGGGCCGAGAAGGGCAGCGAGGGAGCCACGAAGGGCTGCAACGGGGCCACGAAGGGCAGCGAGGGGGCCACGAAGGGCTGCAACGGGGCCACGAAGGGCAGCGAGGGGGCCACGACGGGCTGCAACGGGGCCACGAAGGGCAGCGAGGGGGCCACGAAGGGCTGAACGGGGACGCGAAACAAAGCGAGGGGGCCACGAAGGGCTGCAACGGGCCCACGAAGGGCAGCGAGATCCCGATTCCAAAATAATATGTGAAGGAGTCGTAAGCGTGAGCGCGACTCCTGGGTGGCTGAGTGTTGGGAGCGCGGCGTTTGAATAAATTGCGGTGAATTCCAACGCAAGGGCGCCACTCTTGAGCAAGTTGCAAGCAAGTCTCCAGCGAGCGCGCGACTCCAGAGCGCAGAGAGAGCGATTCCTGAATAAATTGTAAGGACGTCCCAAGCGAGAGCGCGATTCCTGAATAAACTGCGAGGAAGTCTCGGGCGGGAACGGAGGTCCTGGCTAAATTGTAAGAAAGTCTCAAGCGGGAGCAGCTGTTGTTGTAAACCAGGGGCCACCGACACAATTTGAGGAGGAAGCCTTTCCCTAAGAAAAAACAGGGTGCGATCGCCGGGAGGGGCACTTCAATTGAACAAATGTAATGTGCACAGGAGAGGGGGGATCAACAATAATTATTCTTCAGTAGTGAGAGATCAACAACATCATCATCATCATCATCATCATCATCATCATCATCATCATCATCATCATCATCATCATCATCATCATCATCACCATCATCATCAACATCAACAACAACAACAACAACAACAACGCAGCAAGCAGACTCCCCACCACGGATTTCCACTTCAGCCAAGCACCCAGGGGCAATGAATTACCGTTCGGCCCCCTAATTCTGGTAAAATATGAATATACGTATGGGTATATGTTTGGCCATCTTGATTCCCATCTGCACTACCTGACACTCGGAATCTGATACATATTGGGGTCCCACCAAGGCTCGCCCCTGGCCACTGCCACTCCTTGGCCCCCCGGTGAGTCCCTGGCGCCCCGTGCTGTTTGGAGCTCCAGCGGCAGACGCCGACAACCCACAGCAGCGCCCAGAGGCCGCCAAGCGGGCCGCGTGGTCCGTGAGAGAACCACAAAACGTCAGGAAAAGTCCCACGGATCGCTCCAAAGGCGTCCGAGCCGTCTCACGGAAACTCCGACAAGCTCCCCGAGTAGATTTCTCGAGCCCAAAATCTTGGTTTTCCCCGAGGTGTTTCGTCGATGTTGCGGCACTCTCCCATCTTCCGAAGAAGGGGGAGTCCGGTCGCAGGTCGACTTTGCGGCTTCGACGCGTCGAACACATCGCAGGCTGAGCGCGAGCTGAGCATTGCATGCTGCCTTTGGGAGATAGACCGCGTCGGCTTCGGGGGGCGATCACGAGAACGCAGAACGGAGCACCAGCAAAAATGGGGAAACCAGAAGGTACCGATACCGCTACTCCCCGGACCTCTCCTAGGGTGCGTTCTGACCAGAATTTCGAAGCGAATCCAGCGGTGGCGACGAGGGCCTCCCAGGAGGCCCAAAAACGGGAGAACGAGAAGAGGGTAGAGGTATGGGTATCCTTTCCTCCTCTGAAAAAACGACACCGGGATGCTGAGCTTTCTGCACCCGGCCAAAAGCTGACCCTTCGAGCTTCAGCGTGCCCAGGACGGCCCAGGAGGCCCTCCGCCGCAGGGCCGCGAGCCCGCCCCGCGCAGGCTCGACGCGCGCCAGGGGCAGGCGCGCGTGCACGAGAAGACACAGCGCGAAGAAAAAGGCGCGCCCGGGCGGGGGCGGGGAGGGGCAGGGCCTCCTCAGGAGGCGACGGGGCTTCGCAGAAGCCCTCTGGCCTTCTGAGAAGCTTTCTGTGCCTTCGTTTTTTTTGCGTAGAAGAAATCAGAAAACGGTGCCGGCGCGCGCGCGCTCCCCCCACGCAGATAGAAGCTTTCTGTGCCTTCGGGGAAGGCTCAGAAGACGTCTCCAAGGCCTCTGACCTTCCGAGCCTTCCGAGGCGGCCCGCTCCTCTTCACTTCGCCCCTGGGCTCGCCGCCGAGAGAAGAGGCAGCGGGTCGAGGGAAACAGCGGCAAGACGACCCGACATCGAATCGGAAAACTGACTCGGCCATCGAAGTGCATCGAATCGGTTAGGATCGGCAAACAGATCGAAAGCATCGAAATCGACGCCTGGCGGCCGAGCCGAGACACGCACGAGGAAGTCCAAACCGAGGTCAGAATCCTGAGACGAATCGAACCGAAATCGGAATCCTCAAACTCGGATCGGTTCGAATCGACAGAGTCGGAATGGACCCTGGAACGGTGGAGCAAGGGCGGAAGAGACGAAGACCCCGAGGCGACGACCATGTCACGTAATACGTTTTCATGCTGAAAGGTGAAAGACGAACAGGGTTGAAAGAAAGCAGCGACGCCAATATCCCCGTCGGCTCCAGCACATCATCTGCAAAACCCATGAGCGAAGCGAACGTAATCGTAAGCACCTCCCGCGCCACACATGTTCAAGCAAACTAGAATGCAAACGGACAACGTACAAGAACCATGCTGGATCCATATTCGGCCACTGCCCAACAAGAAGAACATAACAAGAGCGCACTGTATTCAAGAAAGACGGATCAGAACATGTTCCAACTTCGTGACGGGTTCAAGACCAGATTGACAGGCAGACGAGCTCGGCCGACCT